AAGGGGCTTGAAAAAGTTGGTGAAAAAATTCCACTATCTTTTCATCTATTTCCACTACCTTTTTGAAGCTCCCTTGTATAACTGAGTAGCATTGTAATTATCAGATGACACAGGAGGTGCTGAAGGCCACTAGTGAATCTCAAATGGACAGAAAATTTCATGAGGGCTATGGAGCCTGGGTGGTGTAGTGGCTATGCATTGGACTGCAATCCACATGGTCAGCAGTTCGAAACCAGCTGCGGCTCCAAGGTAGAAAGGCTAGATTTTCTACTCCTGCAAATAGTTACAGTCTAGGAAACCCATAGGGGTCACTTGAGTTAACATTGACTCCATGGCAGTGAGTAGGAGCCCTGGCGATGTGTTGGGCTGCTAATTGCAAGCTCAGCAGTTCAAAACCTCCTGTTGCTCTCAGGGAGAAAGATGAGGCTCTCTACTCACATAAAGAGTTACAGTCTCAGAAACCCTCGGGGCTGTGGGTCACTAGGAATCAGCATTGCCTTGATGGCAGTGAGATTTTTATTTTATTTATTTTTTTGAGTACATGTTTTAGAATCAGGCAAGGTGTGCATCAGGGTTGTAGCCTATCCCCCTATTTATTCAATCTGTACGCTGAGCAAATCATCCAAGAAGCTGGACTCTCGAAAGAAGAACGTGGCGTCAAGATTGGTGGAAGGCTTGTTAAAGACCTGTGATGTTCAGATGACTCAGCCTTCCTTACCGAAAGTGAGGAGGACTTGAAGCACTTGCTGATGAAGGTCAAGGATTGCAGCTGTCACTGTGTGTGAAGACTCAATGTAAAGAAAATAAAAATCCTTATGACTGGACCGATAGGTAACATCATAACAAAGGGAGAAAAGGTGGACGTCAAGGATTTCACCTTGCTTGGATGCACAATCAATGCTCATAGAAGCAGCAGTCCACTGGAGATCCCCTTGCAGAGGAGTCTCAGGGAGGAGACGAGGCAGTCAGGGTGCGATGTAACAATGATGAGAAATACAACTTTCCTCTAGTTCCTAAATGTTTCCTCCCCGCTCCCACTACCATGACTCGAATTCGACCTTGCAAGTCTGGCTAGACCAGAGGATGTACAGTGGTACAGATAGGAACTGGAAACACAGGGAACCCAAGGCAGATGAGCCCTACAGGACCAGTGGTATGAGTGGCGAAACAGGGAGGGGAAAGGGAGAGGGGGTAGGAAAGAGGGAACCGATTACAAGGAACTATATGTGACCTCCTCCCTGGGGGACGGACAAAGGAAAAGTGGATGAAGGGAGACGTCGGACAGGGCAAGATATGACAAAATACCAATTTATAAACTATCAAGGGCTCATGAGGGAGGGGAGGGTGGGGAGGGAGGGGAAAAATGAGGACATAATGTCGGGGGTTTAAGTGGAGAGAAAATGTTTTGAGAATGATGTACAAATGCACTTTACACAATTGATGTGTGTATGGATTGTGATAACAGTTGTATGAGCCTCTAATAAAATGTTTTTAAAAAAATAAAAAAACTTAAAAAAAAAAACCTAAAAAAAAAAAAAGAAGCAGCAGTCACGAAAGCAGACGACATATAACATTGGGCAGCTCTGCTGTACAAGGATTTTTGAAAGTATTGAAGAGCAAGGCTGTCACTTGGAGGATTAAGGTGAACTCGACCTAAACTATGGTATTTTTAATCGCTCCATAGTCATGTGAAAGTTGAACACTGAATAAGAAGACGGAAGAAGAACAGACTCATTTAAAGTACGGTGCTGGCAAAGAAAACTGGCAGTACCACGGACTGCCAAAAGAACCAGCAAATCTGTCTTGGAAGAAGTACAACCAGAATGCTCCTTAGATGGGAGAACAGCGGGACTTCGTCTCAAGTACTTGGACGCGTTATCAGGAGAGACCAGTCCCTCGAGAAGGAGATCGTGCTGGGTACAGTGGAGGAGCGGTGGAAAAGACCACCACCCTTGATGAGATGGATTGACACAATGGCTGCAACAATGGGCTCAAACGTCACAATGAAAGGATGGCGCAGGCCTGGGCATTGTTTCATTCTGCTGTACACGGGGTCACGGCGAGCCGGAACTTGACAGTACCTAACAACATGGGTGCACGGTGCAGGAGAGGTTGCTGAGGGCGAAGAGGCTAGAAAAGCTTTTTAGGAATGGAAATGTACATGGAGCCCTCAGTGTCTAGGACTTATACGATCCACGCTGTCTGAGGCTGTACCCTGAGCAGTAAACAGGCCATGCAGGCCACTGACCCTGACATCTCCACCTTCTCTAAATAGGGGTTCTAGAAATAAGCTACCTACTAGCTGAACTGGAAAGAGACAATCCCTACACCAGGCTGGGGACACAGGTTGAGGTTGGAGGACAAAGCGCTGGAGAGGGTGGGGACACAGCTGGGCAAGAGGCAGAGAGAACCTTAACTGGTGGCTTCTTGGAAGCGTGGCTATTCGTCCTTCAAAAGGGAGATCACTGGGAGGTCAAAGGCTGCTGGCTGCTCCGCAGCCCTCCAGCACTGCAGATGTGGTGGCTTGGGGACAGGTGGCTGGTATTACCTGCCTGGAGGCTGGCCACGAGTGCCTTTAGTCATGGGAAGGGGACAGGCTCTACAGTGGCTTCCAGGTTCTCTGATGTCACAAACTACTTGGCTCTTTCCAAGTAGTGGGGTGGGGTGGGGTGGGGTGGGTGGGGCTCTTGGATGGGCGGGGCTCTTGGCTATTGCTGGGGGCTAATTGCTTAGAAATTCACAGTTATCTCACACGCCTGTCTAGGCGCAAAGCCCCTTTTGAATTTCTGCACGCAGACCACCAGGGCTGCAGTCTCAGCACCAACGCCTGCCAGGTGTGGGCTTGACGTTCTCCTCTGTAAAATGTACATGAACACAGCCCTCCCTCTTCTGGGTGGCCGATGGTGGCTGAAATGATGAAGCATGCCCCGAGCTAGTCACACATTTGGGTCCCAATAGGCCTGGCCAGCTACTAGCTGGGGTAAGAGGCGGTCCAGCGGGGATGGAGCTGTCCCAGGACTCTCTGGCTACCCGCTTCTGCCCTTCAGCTCTCGAGTCTCCAAAGGGCTCCCCGCCCCCGCCGTCTGCACTACTTCCACCCAGCACCACCACTCTCTCAGCAGATACACCGGGGCCGCGCAGCCCTTTTTAAGTGCCCTGATCCAGAGGAGGCGTTCGAGGGGCACAGGGGCTGCCCACCTGGACCCGAAGCCGAAGTCGAACTACACTACCCAGAATTCCTGGAGCAGGCCAGAAAGGAAATGTCGTTTTCACCCAGAGAGGTTCTGCTGCCCCCTCCGCTGCAGGGAGGGGGAGGGGAGAGATGGGGAGAGCG